AGGCAGTCCACTCACTTCAGCCTCCCAAAGGCGCGGGATTACAGGCTGAGCCACCGAGCCCGGCTTAAAAATGCTTTTATGAAAGTACATATTCTTTAGCATGCTATTTTAATCGATAAAAGAAAATGGTCTTTATTATAAAATTTACAATGAAAGAGAAAAAAGAATAGATTCAGAACTTGAATGTGAATATATGTGTGTGTAAAATTTGTTTATTTTAAAAATGGAGAACAAAGGAGAAAAATGTGAAGGCACGCTGGCACTGTGCATGTGCTGTTAAGATGGAGCTTGTGATTGTCATCAATGTGAAAGGTCCAAGACCTGCATTTCTAAGATGGACATGTTCATCCCGTGACCGCTGGAGGGCACTGTGAAGACGTTGCTTGGACACGTTTACTGTTTCCCTGAGATGCTCTTTGTGGTGTTTAAGTGTAGAAATTTAATGTAAAGAAGAAGAAACATTATTCATGAGAAAGACTTTTAAAAAGTAAGAAAGCAATAACACATTCTCTCTTTTCCTGAATTTAATTGCAAATTAGTAATATGATCTTCAAATTCTCGGGAATTCGCTTTTTATTAATATATGGATTCAAGGTAAAAGTGTTTGATTAAAATAACTTTAGTATTACAGAATAATTGTGCTTTTATATCTTTCTTGTTTTAAAGACATTTAAAACACAATTAATAGTTGCCTATGCAATGAAACCTTTCTCTTGGATTCTGATATGGCCATGAACATCTAACATTTACATTATCATAGTAGCTTTTTAAAAAGTTACTGAAGAAACATATTCTACAACCCAGCCCCAGAATATGCAATCGAACGAGATCCATATAATTACTTTGTGAGCAGTATAAATAAAAGACATGTAAAAATGTAAAAACAAAACTAAACTTCTTTATCTTCTTTGGCTGACTTTTAGGCCTTCCCTCCCCTTCCCTCCCCTCCCTCCTCCATTTTCCTCCTTCCCTTCTTTCTCACCAACATTTGAGTGCTTGCCATGTAACTTGGATAGAAGGAGAGTTATTTTTTTCCACTGAGGCAAGAGTGAAGTAAGGATGTATACGTATAGTTGGATGCTTATTTGTAGATATCTAGAGAGGCATTTGTATAACTTATTGGTTACTGACAGATTTATCTCTGTAAGTGGGAAGCAAGGCTATCAGCTCTGAAAGAACAGGTATGGGGAGTGGGTAAGGAGGGCTGGAGAGAAGAGGGCTGTGCAAGATACTTGAGGAGAAATGTTCTTTGATCAGCTATTCTGGAGAAAGGTGGAAGGAGAAAGCTGCTGCCGTGGGGTACTCTATTTAGGCCAGAGCCTGTGTGTATGTGCTTTGCAAGGGTTTGATTCCCAGAAACAGTGAGGAGCTTTGGGGGTGAAGAGGCAAGTTCTTGGGTTGCCCTTGGGTCGGGATATTGCAGAATGGATCAGATGGGAGAAAAAGTGAGCAGAAGAGTTGAGGGTATTAGCAGAATTATAATTGCAAAGCTGGACTGTGAAATCCTTGGATGAAGGGAAGAAAGTGAAGCCAAAAAGGTCCTGGAAGTTTTGAGGAAAATAGGCTGGTTCAGGGAGGGGGTTCCGGCTAAGACTGAAGAATAGCGATGTATTCACATCAAGAGGGAAAAGGAATTGAAGACTAGGAATTTGTGGTTAGAGAACAGAATATGAGAGGTTATGATTTATAGCTGGAACAAGTCCAGGTTATAAACGTCCAGGATGTGGTCCTGGGAGGAAATTGCTAAAATGACCTGCAGGTGAAAAATCACTGCATGGAAGCAGTCAGGGAACTCAACAGCCAGAGAGCTGGATACGCCATGCTCACATGCTGCTTGGGAGTGGTGGAGCTAAGGGTAGTGAGGACAACTGAGATGTTGAAGCTTCCATGAGGTGTGTGTGTGTGTGTGTGTGTGTGTGTGTGTGTGTGTGTGTGTGTTCTGAAGGGGGTGTGAAGGCGTGTGGCAGATGACACAACGGGGAGGAATAGAGGCTGCTATAACCAGATGATTGTGAGACTCCAAAGCAGTGTTTTTGTGAAGGTGGAAGGTGCTTCCTTGGAGAAGCACTAGGGGTAAGAAAATTTCCTGAACCTCTCCCCTCTTCCTCCAGCCCTGGAGGAGAAGAATAGAGCTATAAATGAAAGCAAGGCAGTGAGAGCTGTTGTTTAGACAAGAGCACAGATGATTCTGGATGGCACAGTGACAAGGATTGGCAGAGAGGCAGCAAGAAGAACTGCCTATCTTCAGCTGTTCTGCTAAAATAACAGATAAACAGTCCTATGAAATTTTACCGTAATAAGAATTTATATTAGTAGAATCTAAAAATGACATTCTAAAACAGTACAGCCTAGTGGTTAATAGCACACCTCTGGAGACAAACTTCCTGAGTGTGAGTTGGGGCTCCATCACTTACTAGCAGATTTCTTAATCTTTCTGTGCCTCAGTTTCCTCATCTGTAAAATGGGGATAATGATAATACTTTCCTTATAGGACTGTTAGGATATTAAATGGATTAATGTCTGCAAAGTACTTAGAACAGTGCCTGACTGATAAGCTATATAAAAGCGTTCAATGAAAAATCACTTGCTTCGTTGGTTAACAAGTGAGTGTATGACTTATAGATTTCAGATTTGTAAAGTTATTTTTCCAGTAGTAATTTCTGTTAGTTGTAGCAGTTTTAGGAAACATATAGGTGTTAACCCTAAACCACATTCAGCAGAGTTAGCCTTTGCATTACACTCCTTATTGCCCCTTTCCTTAAGGCTGCCAGCACTGCCACTTGTTCATCCCTCCACGGTGCTGGGTTTTGTAACCCATCGTGATGCACAAAGCCAGGGTCACCCTTCCCAAAAGCAGCTGTACTCCCTATGTTTTTGCTTCTTGCTTTCTAAAAAGCCGTTACAATTGTAATTATAAAAAGCTAGGACATTACAGTTTCTGATAATGGTCCCCCTGTAGTGGTCTATATGGTGCAGGTCATATTCCCTATTTAATAGGTCCATAGAGCAGTTGACTTGGTGTAAGCCTCTGCTGTAGGAGAAATGCCTTTTCAGGAAGGACAGATGACCAGAGGAGCTGGGATTCGGTTTGGGAGTGAAGCATAACACGAACTGGGAGAGATCTGGTGGTATTAACTAGTCACAAGTCAACCAGCTGGAAGTAGTTAAAAGAGTTTCTCTGTTGCTGCTGTCAGAGTCCCTGTTAGGTTTCCCGGCCAGGATGTCTTGTGGTCAGCAGTCAGTAACCCGAGGTGCTGTTCAGGATTCCAAGGGGATGTCTGAGGGCTAGGTGCGGAGCATGATTAGTTACTGTCTGCGATGATGAGAAGGTGGTTGTGGGAAGCACCTCACAGTCCAGGTCCACAGCAGAGGCAGATGCCTCCTGGGCAGGTGTTGTGAAGTCTTCCTACCCTGGCAGGGAGAGGTGTTTCTTGATTAAATCTTGGTGGTTCTTTCTGGGATGAGCCCCCTTGTGTGTTGTCCCTTATTCCTCCTGAGTTCCAACTCCTAGAAGCTTCTCCCTTGTCTATTATCTTCTGTGACATATCTGAAGTAGAAATGAGGGGTGGGGAACTTCTTGAGAGGCACACAACTTTCAGAGCCTGAGTTCATCCTGTAAAAACTTGGAGCCAGAAAGGCTATTTTAAGACGCACTCAGTACTTTGGGAGGCTGAGGCGAGTGGATTTCCTGAGCCTGTGGGTTTGAGACCAGCTCTGGTGGCAACTTGGCAAGACCTGGCTCTACAATAAATCAAAAATTAGTCGGGCGTGGTAGCATGCATCTGTAGTTCTGGCTACTTGGAAGGCTGAGGTGGAAGGATCACTGGAGTCCAGCAGGTTGACGCTGGGGTGGCTGCGAACTGCACTCTAGCCTGGGCGACAGAGTGAGACACCAACTCCAAAAAAAGAAAAGAAAAGAAAAGGAAAAAGACTCAAAGGCTTTTTTATGCAAGATTTTTGTTTCTTTGGGAATTCATTTACTTTAGAAACTCAGTAAGCTTTTTAGCTATCTACTTCTATGTACAAATAACTGTGCCCAAAGATTTCTTTCCTAGACACAGATCTTAAATCTATTTTATTTTTTTGTTTTCTTGCTGCCAGTACACCCCACATTCCACCTTTTCTCTCTTTCAACTTGTTTGTCTTGAGGCTATCTGAGGCAGTAGACTTGAATAGGGAGGTTCCATGGGCTTTGACAAATGTGCATCCATGTTTCACTACTGTGACCAAGACTTAGAACATTTCTATCACCCATAAATGTTCTCTTGTGTCACTTCCCAGCCATTCTCTATTCTGGTACCCCACTCCTGACTCCAGGAAGACACTGCACTGTTTTCTGTCGCTATAAATTAGTTTCCTAGAGTTTCGTAAAAATGGAATCATATAGTAGGTACTCTTTGTGCCTGGCTTCAGCTCAGCACAATGTTTCTGAGATTCATCTGCGCTGCTGCATGCTTCAGTAGTTCATTCTTTTTTTTTTTTTTTTTTTGAGTTGGAGTCTCACTCAGTTGCCCAGACTGGAGTGCAGTGGCCACTCCCGGCCACCGCAGCCTCGAGCTGCTGGGCTCCGGTGATCCTTCTGCCTCAGCTTTCCACGTAGCTGGAACTACAGGCACATGCTACCACGCCTGGCTAATTTTTGATTTATTGTAGAGATGAGGTCTCACCAAGTTGCCCAGGTGGGTCTCGAACCCACGGGCTCAGGCAATCCACTCACCTCAGCCTCCCAAAGTGCTGGGATTACAGGCTGAGTCACCAAGCCCGGCTGAGTAGTTCATTCTTCTAAGTTGGTGAAATGTATCTCATTGTGTGAACATGCCATATTTTGTCGATCCATTTACAATAATGTTGAGGGATCTTTAGGTTGTTTCCCACTTGGGGTTATTACAAATAAAGGTGCCATAGTTATTAATGTACATGTTTTCTATGTTTATATGTTTTATTTCACTTGGGAAAATACCCAAGAGTGGAATTGCTGGATTAGTATGTTTAACGTTTTTAAGAAACCACTAGGCAGTTTTCCAAAGTGATTGTATAGTCTTTATTCCCAATAGCAATAGGTGAATGTTTCAGTTGCTTCATGTGCTCACCGACACATGGCACTGTTTTATCTTAATTGTTGTCATTGTGCTGTCTGTGCAGTGGTATTGATGTCCATTTCTCTGATGAACATTGATGCTGAGTATCACTCATGTCCATTGGAATATCATATTTTATAAAATATCTGTTCAAATCTTTTGCCTATTTTAAATTTTTTGTCTTTTTAGTATTGTTATGAGTCAAAATATATCTGATGCAAACCTTTCATTAGGTATTGCTAATATTTTCTCTCAGTTTATAGTTTACTTTTCTCAGTTTCTTTCTTTCTTTTTTTTTTTTGAGTTGGAGTCTCACTCTGTGGCCCAGACTGGAGTGCAGTGGCCGCTCCTGGCCACCGCAGCCTCGACCTGCTGGGCTCCGGCGATCCTTCTGCCTCAGCCTTCCAAG